CCTCTCTTACAAATTAATCTCCTCCTTACTCTGATAATTCTTTGTATAAAGATTCCCCTGCTTAAATGATTGGTGTGCTTTTTCCCAACTGGACTGTGATAGATATATGTCCCTGAAGTCTTCTGTCTCCATTTTTCAAAAGCTTCTTTTTCCATATTACACAAAGGTTAGAATCAAAGGCATGGGAATCAGGTTGCCGGAGTTTGTATTTTGGTTCTGCTACTTCATTTCTCAATGCTGTTTTGGGAAAGTTGCTTAACTCTCTAAGCCTCTGATTCCTCGTCTCCAAAATGGAGGTGATGGAAACACAACTTGCCTTATAGGTTTTTTGTGGGGAATCAGTAAATTAATTTGCGTAAGGCAAATAGGAAATAATCAATCAATCAATGTCACCTAGTATTATTTCCTTAATCCCTCTTCATGGAGTTGTAGTCACAGAATAAAATATACACATTCTTTCATAAATTCTGTGTGGTGTATAAAAAGGAATAGAGAGCATCTAATGTAAACAGTCCTCTTAACAGGTAGCCTTTCTTAACCATCTTCTTCCCACTCCTTTGTGTTGATATACAGGACTTTATCCTCACATTTATCATGCTGCACTGTAAACAGTTTCCTTAAAAATCTATCTTGAGAGTCAGATGCTACTTCCTGCTTGTGCCTCACACCTAGTAAACAAACACTTATGAAACGTTTAAAGAAGGAGGACAAGAGGTGCAGAATGCATTTTTTTTTTCTATCATTCCCTTCAATTTTCAGGACACAAAACTAACCTGAAATATAAAACTGACCCCATCACCTCCAATCAAGGAAGCTATTTTATTTCTGTGACACAGAAGGGAGCGAGAGAAGTGTAAACCTAATAGGGTCAGGTGCTCAAGGAGGTTAGACAGAAATCTGATATGTGCTTAACAGTTAAAGATCTATGAGCTCTGCTAATGCATGCTGACTAGAGTGAACAATATTCTCTATCCCAAACCACCTCTCTTTCCTTTTCCTTAATTAGTTTGTTAATGAGCTAATGCTTCCAACAGACTGTGAAATTAAAACAATGTGCTTTCTACTGTGATTGCTAAACATTTTCACTGGACATAAAATGTGTTTCACCCTCAATGGGATTTTCTTTTTTCTATTTATAAACAAATCAAAAAGACAGCATCAAAGAGGTGCAGGTGTCTGGTAGGTAAATAAATAAACACTCCCAGCATGTGGAACAATTAAATAATCTCAACAAAATGGGATCATAGGCAGATGCACACACCATAGGAACAACACTTTACAGGCAAAGGGAAAAACTCCAAATGAGTCTGCAACAGAGGAGCTTGGCTCAGTGGGCCAGCCAATTTTGCATCTGTCCCTTTGGCAATGAAGAGTGCTCTGGACACTCTCAGTATGCACTGGGGACAGAGCTCTTCAGGCAATTCTAAGGGAAGAATGATGGACTTTAACACTGCCAAGTCATCAGATAATGCTGAAGTGGACCCACAATGCAGACATTCCCAGCAGAACCAGAGCACAACATCCCTTAAACAGGTGCCATACTTTCTCGCCTCTGTGTCCTATTCCATCTTCCTGGCATCTTTTCTTTTTGCTTACAATGCTCACCCCAAACTAAATATTTAGATGTTTAAGTAATATTCATTCTAAAATCTTTGAACTTTGGAACACTGAAAAAAATAAAATTAAAATTAAAGAAAAATTAAAATCTTTGAAGGTCGTTTACTTCATGAAGCATTACCTAATTGTGTTAGCCCTGTATGCATTAAAATAGAACCCTTGCTTTAAAAACAACAAGACCAACACAAAAACATTTCTAACAAAATTTGCTATACAAATAAGTGGGTTTTTTGGAAAAACATCTTTTGAATTTAATTTGAAGACAGAGCATCTACAAATACTACAAGTAGTAGGGTGCCTGGGTAGCTCAGGCGGTTAGGCATCCACCTCTGGCTCACGTCACAATCTCAGGGTCCTGGGACCTAACCCCACATCGGGCTCCCTACTTGGTAGTGAGTCTGTTTCTTCCTCGCTCTCTGCTGCTCCCCCTGCTTGTGCTCTCTTGCTCACTCATTCTCTCAAATAAATACAAAATTTTAAAAAAGATTACAAGTGGAATATAGTAAGAAAAAGAGAAACAACACCAGTTTGGGAGGGTAACTCTTCATATCATATTTTGGTGATGAGATAACTTACATGAAGAAGGTGATTTGAACCTTAAGGAATGGAAAGGATTGCAACAGGCAAGCCAATAACAAGATGTTCCAGATAGGAGCAGACTCAGGAAGAAAGAAGGGGATAAAGGAAATCATACTAGATTTAGGGAATTCAAATTGAACCATTTTGATTCTTGTGTGGGGTAGGCTTGAATAAATGGAATAAGTTAGGGCTAACCAAGAAGATTAAACCAAGAGAGGGAAGATAATTAAATATTAAGTATGAGCTTTGGATTTAGTCTATTAAATATTTTAAGACAACTAAGTGTTCCTAAGATTTTAACACATTAATCTGATTCTGCACTTACCTTTAAAGTTTCAAAAAAAAGAGTTTTACATTTTATTGGAAAAAATAGATATTTCAAGAAAGAAGCAGTGAAAAGAAAAATTCTTATGCCTGTAGTTTAATAAGCAATTGGACTGCATTGTCAAACTTTAGAAAAGATGTCTGAAATAGCTAATGCAAGGCAACCATTGTGCATGTGGAAAAAATGGCATTGTTTAGATTTCCACAAAATACACTTAAGTGTAAAAAAATCTACAATGACTTGTTTGAACAGTTGTGGAAAACATGAATACAACAGCTAAGTCATTGAAAAAACAAATGAATCTGATGCAAAAAATAATAACAAAGACAGAAATAAATATAAACATCGTATGAAAACTTTTGAAGTCATTTGGAAAAGCAGTTTTTGTAATCCTATTGTCACGTGGAACTTAAACTCTGTAAGGTAAGACTTTATATAGACCTAAGACAGAAAAAATACTGCCCCACAGGGGGGAAATGGTTCACAGCAGTTGAATGTATTTGTGCAGCTTGTATTGAGTGCTTACCATGGGAAAACAGATAAACAGTATCTGTTCCCTAATTTAGAGTAAATTGCAGTTGTAGAATACAAAGAAAGATGTTTGTGGTATGCGATAGACAGCTGATGGTGAGTAGTCATTTGGGTAAGTGTTGGGCTCTTATGAGCCCTTGAAACTGTAATGTTGGAAACTTCCCCTAACTGGATTGAGGATTTGGGGAAGCTTTCCTGGAGGGAATGCTTGATATACTGAGTTTCAGATGACAGATGGGAACTAGTGGGGTAGAGGAGACTTAAAGTCATTTGAGGTTAAGGGTGGTAAACTGCACAGAAGTCTGAAGTAGCATGACGTGTGGCACCATCATCTGTGGGTTATCTGACAGCATCACCTGAAGGGCAGGGCAGCTGGATGGTTAAGGCAGGCTCCAGAATGAAACAAATCTGACTTTGCATCCAACCTCTATCCTTTGTATTTTAAACCAAACATCATGGCAGTGCTGTCCAAGAAGTGGCAACAGAGGGTCCACCTTATGCCTTGTTTTCTGTGGAGAACCTTAAAAAATGTGGGCCCCTGGAGAGAGCCAGCTTTCTGCAAAGATGGTTGGGAAGATCAGGCGTCTTAAAGAAGCTGCAGAGGAGACTGTTTACCTGGAAACTTGCTTCTAAAAAAAGTTCAAAGGAACTATGTTTGAGAGAGGCAAAAAGGAAGACACGAAGAAAATAGCATGCGTAAAAGATTAAAAAGATGAGTATTCAGTGATGATTTACTTAAGAAATGATGATATTTCCCTAAATCAATATTTCCTTTGACACAGTCATGGGCTAATAACAGCACCTACATATTTATTGATTATTCAATGATTAATGTATTTGATGTACATTATTTTTAAGCAACTGATACATTTGAATCATTTTATCAAGACCACATTGCAACTCTATTTTGTAATTAGAAGGTTTAGCTTATGATCCAAAATACAAAATTAATATTATTACTTTATGGTGTCACTTTACTTTCCATCTAAAATAACTTTTTTTTTTTTTTTTAGATTTATCAGTCACCATACTTACTAGGTTTGCATAATTGTTTGTTTTTTACCTGTTAAAGTAGTTATGCATTTTTTGGATTTTTCTTTAAATACATTAATCTCCTCTTATTAATCTGCATATAGAGATAGAAGAGAAAGAGAAATGAAGAAAGAAAACAAACCAGAAGTGGTAAATACTAAAGTAAGATAGTTATTGAAAGCAACCAAATTTAAAGGAATTCCTAACTGAGATGATGTTGCTGGTACTTGTGATGGTCACAAAGTTTGGATGGGATCTTATCCCCTCTTGGTTAATATGTATACCCTTTTAATTGAACCAGTCAGGTAAGATAGCTAGCTATTATTACTCTATATGTGACATTATTATTACCATTTCAAATCCTGCCGACATTTATTTTTCTTCTCCCACAGCCATCCTAAGAGATTTTCTCAGTAGAAGGTAGCACGGAAAAAAAAAACAAAACAAAACAAAAAACCACATAGAATCACAGAGAGTATAAAGGCATGACAAAGGTAACTCAGCTAATTAGCACCAGAAAATCAGCTTCATAAATCTCAGGTCACTGATCTTTCTACTACAAAGGTAGAGAATTATGCTAGCTGTTTTTGTTCCCTTCCTTCCTTTTTTTTTTTTTTTTTCTTATTGTTTAGGGTTTATCAAAGTTTTTCGTTTTTTGTTTTTTGTTTTTGTTTGTCTGTTTGTTTTACTGTTACCTTTTTTATCCCTCATCATTCCGGTGTGTTCAGAACATCATAATAGGCATGAAGGGAAAAATAATCGTATTTTTTTTAAACTCAATCTGTCCAGAATCTATGATAACATACGAAACCATGCCATTATCTCTTAGGGCAACGAAAGCATTCCAAGATTATTTTGGTACTAAGAGTAAAGGTGAAGACCAACTTCCAGGTAAGCCATGTGTGAGACTTCAGTGAGAGTAGCGTTTTCATTCCGGCGATTTTACGGAAATGCGGGAGTCGTGTATAGGACTGGAAATATTCAAATCCTGGATGGCTTCTGCATTAGCATTTAAATAAAAATGACCAAGTTGGCGTGTTTTCAGTGGCTTTCAATTTCCTGTTTGATCTCGGAAATGTACGGATGATCTTTGCCGTGGGCCACTTCCATGATGGCGATGGCTTTCCTCAGGGCTTTCTCCCCAGCAGCTTTGTCTTCCAGGCCCATGTACAGCCTCCCCAGCTTCAGCCACATGGAGGCCACGTTGAGCGAGTACAGAGGGTAGTGCTTGCTGTAGGGCTTAATGATTTTCTGTCCGTATCGCAGGGCTCCTTCCCAATCCTGCATGTACAGGCAGACACCCATGGCCTGGTACATCATGTGCAGCATGTACATGTTGCTGTCCTCAAACACGGAGCCCATCTTCTCCTGGCTGAGCTCGCAGAGCTCGCAGTCTACCCATGAGTCTTTTTAATGTTGTGTTTGTTTTTTGTATTATCATTGTGCTTATTCTCAGGTAATCATATTAATAATATGCATAAGATGTATATATATATACATATATAGATATATAAATTATATAAGGATTGCTTTTTGGCAATAGAACCAACTTTCACATGTTTTTAGTAGTGACATGTATAAAAATAATTTTATTATATTTTAATTAGTGAAGAGAAGTATATATCTCATGCAGTCCACTGCATAGAAAACATCCTTGGCTGAATATTTTAGCTCCTGGTCAGGTATAGCATTTATGCAACTAAGGGATAAGGTTTAAAGTGTGACTCCAAGACTATAGCTCAGTAGAGGGGTACTCAACCTGAAACACAAAGGACCTCTTAGTGATGAGATTATTTTTTATTGTTTTTTTTTTTTTTTTAAGATTTTATTCATTTATTTGACAGAGAGAGAGAGATGCAGTGAGAGAGGGAACACAGGCAGGGGGTGGGAGAGGGAGAAGCAGGCTTCCTGCTGAGCAAGGAGCCCGAAGCAGGGCTCAATCCCAGGACCCTGGGATCATGACCTGAGCCAAAGGCAGATGCTTAATGACTGAGCCATCCAGGCACCCCTTTTTATTAAGAGAAGAGCTTTCTCATTTATAGAGGCATGTGTACTGGAAAAGGGGTGCACTGGCAAGGATTTGCAGGTTAAAAACAAGGTTAGTATGGACCATTGGTCAGGATCAATAAACTCAACTCAGAGACAAAGGTATTACATTCTGGAAAGCATGTAAAGAAAAAGGTAAACTATATTTTGGGTTAAGGTGTCTATTATATGATGATAATCATTATAAATTCACAAACTATCCTCATAAAACTATCATATTTTGGTCCTGGACATGCACTCAACCTCTTTTACATTGTGTTCCTCTGTCAACATTCAAAATAGCCTATGCATTCGTGTTCTCTTTAATCAGTCTCTCCCCCAGTCTCCTCCAATATATTCTCTATTCATTTTACTAAACGCTAGGCTGTATTGTGTTTTTCTATTATATATGGTAACCAGAGGATTGGATTTGGATGTCACCATGTACTTCCAAATGTTTACTCATTTTTTTTTTAAGATTTTATTTGTTTATCTGACAGACAGAGATCACAAGTAGGCAGAGAGGCAGGCAGGGGGTGGGAGGAAGCAGACTCCCTGCTGAGCAGAGGGCTGGATGTGGGGCTCAATCCCAGGACCCTGGGATCCTGACCTGAGCCGAAGGCAGAGGTTTTAACCCACTGAGCCACCCAGGTGCCCCTGTTTACTCATCTTTGAAATATGTTTATTACTACACTTCACCAATAAAGTGTTTGAAATATTGGCTATGATTATTATTAATCAACAGATTACTGAAAAACAGTATAGAGTCATGACTGCAGTTGTCTTATAGGCAAGGGATTTCTTATTCCAAAACTCCAAAGAAACTTTGGTTTATATTTAAAACAAAGAGTACATATTTCACCATCATACCAAGGAATTTTCATCTTGATAGATTGGGCACATCAGAATGTTCTGTTTAATTCCTAGTATATCTCTTTATTAGCCAGATATTTTTGCTCCTACCATGTTTTTCAGTTATCTATTACTGCATATCATATCATACTAACCCAAAACATGCTGTTTCAATACAATGATAATATTTTGCTCACAAATCTACAAATTAGGCAGGTCTCAGTAGAACAGCATTTTTTTTTTTTTTTTAACTGCAAATGAGCTTCAACTAAGTAGCTTGAATGTTGAAAATGAAATCACTGGGAGGTTTGGTCACTCATCTCTCTGGTAGTTGATGATGATTGTTGACTAGAACTTCAGCTGAGGCTGTAAAGAAGACATCTAAGAGTGTCTTTTTGATGTGCCTACTTGGCTTCATAACAGCTTGGTAGCTGGATCATACCTGAGACATCTCAAGAGGACTGGGCATAAGTTTTATTACCTTTTTTTGGACTTAACATCAGCAGTTATATGGTGTTAATTTTATTGTCGTCATAGGCCTACCCATATTGAAAGGAAAAAACAAAGATCTCATCAGTCAATGGAAGAATATCAGTATCACATTTTAAGAAGCATATGTAGGATAAAATATGTTTTTGAAGATTTTAGTGGGAAATAAGATCTGGTACAGTCTGCCCTCTAGCCACAGCAGTTTACCATCTTTACACGTGCAAAATTCCCTCATCCTTTCTCTTCAGGATATCTCACAAAGTCTCATTTATGATGGTATCAGGTTTAGGCTGGAGGTCCAAAATCTCATCATCAAAGTCTGTTCAGCAATCAGGATTTTTGGATCTTATTTGCAGATTATAGCTCCTCAAGTTCAGTTTCCTTTCTTAGAGGTAGACCCTCATTTTGATGTTTAAAAAGGAGTAGCTATTGGGGGACCTGGGTGGCTCCGTCGTGAAGCATCTGCCTCCAGCTCAGATCATGATCCCAGAGTCCTGGGATCGAATCCCACATCTGACTCCCAAGGAGTCTGCTTCTCCCCCTACTGCTACCCACCCCCGATTGTGTGCTCTCTCTCTCATGCTCTCTTTCTCAAATAAATAAATAAAATCTTTAAAAAAAAAAAAAGGATGTATTAGCTATTGAGTTTACTTCAAAATAAAATATATTCTAGTTTTTGAGAGTCACATTTATGTAAGTCTCATACTTCCCTCAGAAGCACCCATTAATATCAAGGTATTACTGCAGAAATTATTCATAGTCTGAAAAACTAAACATCTATAGCCACAAAATAAATTTGTACAGAACAGTCTTCCTGAAATTTTTACAGAATTGATTGTCCTTATTTACTGAGGGATATTCCACTTTGCAGTCAATATTCTCTATATTTCTTACTACTGTCTGAGCTCACCCTTATGGGAACACTTACATAACCCAGTGATGGAGAAAAAAAGAGGCTTAAATAATGTAATACTGTGAAATACAGCAGTGTGCCTTCCAAAACATTAAACACCATAATTTTTGGCCTTCCAGATATTGATTGTCACTGAATATTAACACAAGTAAATTTTTTCTAAATGCCACTGCATTTAGTTTTGTAAAGCAATCTTTTATAAAACAGTCTGCCACACAGAATAATAAGGAGTTAAGAAGATCTATTGGACAGGCTGTTTCATTTTCACATTGATCATCTCAAAATATTTTTCCATTTTCTTTTATTTCATATCTTGACATACATAAGGACTGTTCCTCCTTATACTCTGACAAAAGATCATGAGTCACAATGTAGCGATATTAAGGTGACAGTATCAGTTATCTTCAGAAATAAGAACACATTTGAGAGGGATAGGGCACAATTAGTAATTATATTAGGACAAAAGGTGTAAACCAGAATAGTCCTGAGTAGACTAGAACATGTGCATAAGCAAACTATTGAGTGTACTTTTTATTTGAACAAAAGTTGGCATCCCAATTCTGCCTCTTATAAGCAATCTCATTCAACTTACTTAACCTCTTAGACCCTCAGTTTTCTTATGTAAAATATTAGAATATTCAGACATCTCACTACTTCTGTTAAATTACATAAATAAAATACTCTAAGTACTATCCGCATAACTAAGGTCCTCAACAAATGGCAATTAGGTTTGTTATTATTGTATCCTGCTTGCCTAGAATAGTATCTGATACATGATAGACTGCAATAAATATTTTTTTTTTTGGTGAATAAACTAATAAAAGAATTAATAAATAAATCAATGACATGTAGAAGTACTATTAGTATTAAATGAAGTCATGTAACACTCATGGTGATTCTACTACATGTCATAGTAGAACAAATAGACAAATGCATGTCCTTGCACAGGGCAATTACAAACTATGAAGAAAAAATAGACTTTTAATACCTTACCAGAAAATGTGTATACATTTCAAACTTCAGAACATTTGTGATTATGGTTTTTATCCATTTAATCTAATCATTTTTCACTTATAAAATGCTTTTCTCAGTTTCCCTGTTGTGTTACTAGAGGTCTTACTGGTAAGGATAGGATAGATTATGTTGCATTACAAATGATAAGCTATAAATACAATTTTTTTAAATGCATTTGCAGATACGGTCATGGCTATATATTATGTAACAATCAATTTGTATCCCTTGGCAGATTTCACAGCAGAAACTTTTGAGGCCAGAGAGAGAATGGGATGACATATTTAAAATACCAAAAGTAAGTTATCATTAACCACAGATTCTATAACCAGCAAAACTATACTTCAGAATTGAATGAGGAATAAAGACTTTGAAACAAAACAGGAAAATCATTACCACCAGACCTGCCTTACAGAAATGCTAAAGGAAGTTCTTTAAGTGGAATAAAATAAGATATCCATACCCCAAGTTCCCTGGTTCGACAGGGCCATGGGCTTTCCTCTGCAAACCTTCTCTCAGCTAGAGCACCACTGGGCTGCACAACTTTGAAGAGTTTTCACCAGCCCTTCTGTTCAAATGGAGCCAGAATATACTCTCCACCACAGGTAAAGTAATGTCGCAGCCACCCTGCCTGAATGGAAAGAAAAGGGGACACTCCAGGCTACTTTCAATTTCCTGAGCAGTCTCTCTACTTGGGAGAGGCTGGGAACTAACCTCAGCCTTGGCTATGAATTAGTCCTCTTGCATGCCTTTAGTATGGGACGCTTCTATGCCTAGTAGTAGCTTTGTTTTGGGGGTGATCAGCTCTGCCTGCCCAGCTTCAGCACTGCTAGACTGCACAGCTTCTGAACTGGTAACAGGCTCTCTGATTAGGTCTGGCTGGAAGACATTCTTCACAGAGGGTGGGGCTATGACTCCGCACCTTGCCTAAGCCTGGGCAAACAGGGCTTTAAGGCCAGCAAAACTCCATGTTTCAGCACTACCTTGCTGAGTTCCCTGTTCAGAGTCTGACCCAATTTGATTTTGCTGATGAGCAAAGCCGCTGTTTGGAATTACTAATTGGACATTGGAGGTATCAACCCAGTCTGCAGGGATCTGTATGCTTTGGTTACAAAC